AGAATAGAATAGAGTAGAGTAGAATAGAATAGAACAGAACAGAACAGAATAGAATAGAATAGAATAGAAAAAAGTAGAGTAACATGGTACAATATAACAACACGTAGTATGCAGTGTCGTATAACATAGCAATATCCAGACTCGGAAGCAGCGGCCTCGCGGCGCCAGGTCGAAGGAAAGTCCAGCGTCAAGGTCTTGTGGATTGACAACTTCCGCTGCACTGGTGGACCAGGTTGCGGGTTGCAGACACCGCAAGCCATGGACCAGGGAGCTAAAGAGCTGGGAACTGTAGGGAGTCAAGAATTCTAGCTAAGAGATCCCCGCATCAGGCAAGAATGGTGCACTTGCTGGGGTCGATTAGTCGGACCTTGATTCAGACAATCAAATCACCGCGGCTTCTGTGTGTTGTGTCCGGACAAGTCGAACTCAAGAGATATCTACCTTGAGCCATGCCACCGCCAGCGATCACATTTCTCGAAGCTGTCTCCGACGGCAGAATCTGCAGACCCATACAGGTCGCCCTAGCATCTGAACTGGGGCCATGTCCAAGAAGCAAAGAGGAAGGACCTCCGAGCGGAGCAATGCTCCAAGCTCACCCAAGTCATCAAGGAGGCTTCTGCTAGGGCCGGGAAGAACTAGGACCGTAGGACCGCGGCCAAAACGGAGGTCAAAGCTTTCAGTTTCCACGCTGCCACTCCGGCCATGGGGCCAGCACAGTCGGCCTTGGCCGATGAGCAGAATCTAGTTTCTGTTTCGGCCCCATGTCAGTTCCTAAGGTCCTACTGCGTTTGTTGACATCCGGGAGTACCAAGTAGCCAGCGATGACTATCACGTAGGAGACGAGACAAAAGAAGCCTCCAATCCTGTCGGGCGCTTTCTGTGAACATGCTGGTGCACGCTAGCTAGCGCAGGAGGGGTTTGAAAGCTCGGGCTCCGTCCAAATAACTGCATTTACCACCGGCGGAGCTACTCGTCCGAGAGCTCCGGGCCTTGCAGGGCGCAATCCCAGAGAGCAATGCTCGCTGTAGAAGGCCGCTTGTGGGTGCCCGGCAAGCTCGACAGTAAAGATCCAATATCAAAAGCCTGATGGACCTCGGCCGCCTCGATTAAGATGAAGATGGTCCAAGCCTCAGAGGGACCGCTCCGGGCACTGTGCTGCTCGCATCTCTATGTCCCGAGGCAGCCGCATTCAGTGCCAGAACGCCTGCTACAATAAGAACGCCAACCGTACAGGACGCACCTGCTCCGGACGGCAGAGATGCCTACATTGACATCGAGATTTTGCACTCGATTAAAGCACGACAAAGAGCTCATGCAAACAGGTCCCTATGTCAAAAGTCAGGACCCTGACAAAAGAGCGCAAACTCAGTCAATCAGTTGAGCGGCCTGCTGTACTCCAAGGCAGTGTGAAAATCCCTGTGCCGAGGCCACAAACCACGAGGTTGAGCGTGAGCTGGGGGCCTCATACTGCAACGAAACGCACTCGAGCTAGCAGATCTACCCCAGTAGCAGACCGGATGTTGCACGACAGCTCACGGACAGGATCGCGACGATTTCCTTCTACTTCGGATGGGGTCCACGGGAAACACTCACGCCGTTGCAAGCACCATGCTTCATACTTCCTTGGTTTGGCGATGTGGCTAGCTACAAAGCGCATATACAGCTATTGAACAGCAAGTAAAGGGCTCTCTGTCACGATTTGTTCGGGATCTGCGGAGTCAGTTGACTGCTACTTGCAAAGTTGAACCTGGGGCTTCCCCGCCTGTGGCTTTGCCATCTGGAGCAGCTTTGGTGGGTTTCAGAAGCTGCGTCGTCTCTGTTGGCCCATCAGCCTTCCTCAGCGACTATGCAAAACAACATGCAAGAAGTCTTCGAACAAGTGTCTCAAGTTATGCAGCCTGTTGTCGTCGCACCGAGTGTATCATGAGCTGCCTGAGGAGTATTCCATAGAAGCAACAGTTCTCAACAGTCTCGATTGGTTGTTGCAGATGCCTGCTGGTGACTCCATAGAATCTCACAACCGCGGTCGTGCTCATTGTGTTTCAACTTCTTGTATTCAACAGACATCGAAGGAGACTTTCTGCAGAACACTTTGATCCTGTCCACTACGACCTGGAATTACACAAAGAGCGGTCGGATGCGCTCTTTAAGACCCCCCCTCCTCCTCCGGCCGAGGCCCATGTCCGTCAAAAGCTTCGTGCGTGAGTGTGAAGTTGAAGTAAAAGCAAACAAGGTATTTTTCTACTCTCTGATTTTCAGAATCAGCTTTTTCTCGGTTGAGACTCAGTCACAAGTCTCTGCGAAGCCTTTTACTTGCATTCACTTCCGTTTTGTCTCCCTGCAGCTCTGAAAGGAACGCAACTTCACACTCACGCCGGTCTCCTCCCCACCCGATTTGTCCAGAAGCTTCCGTTTTCGCAAGAAAACAACACCATCGTCGGCCAGAGATTCGTCCGCCAAAGGGCGAGTCAAGGCAGGTTCAAATGCCATCTTTGACGCTGTCTTCGGCCGATGCTCGCTCTTTTCGTACCAGTAGGTCGCAGAAATTATGCGACGCGGCCTGCTGAATCCGAAACCTACAACCCTCACACCAATGCGCATCAATGCAAGGTACCCGGACAGAAGCCGAGGGCTTTCCAGGCCGCTTCATGATCCCAGGGCAGAAAGGAGTGTGTAGACAAAGCAGTGAAAGTGACAGGGCCGCCAGACACCACCGCGATGGAACTACACATGCAAAAGCATTGGCTTCAGCACTAAAGGTCTCTTGGATGGCATGACATTAGGCGAGTGATAAGTGCTATCGAGCGTCCTCTCAGTTCCTTGCAGAGTGGACTCCATGAAATGGGGGAGGTGAGTTACACGGCTGATGCCGCATGCTCCATCGTCACACTTGCATTGGGATCTCGCAGAAGAGACAGCCTGCGGATGCAGTAGCGCATGCCTCAACCTGGCTGAGGTGCGTTGCTCAAATCCTCGTTTCTCGGCATGTCTGCATACTTTCTGCCCACGCTTTACGTCATTAAGCTACGCGGGAAGTGGGTTCCTTGCCAGACACTCTTTCAATCTCAAGCCGACTGAATCTTACTTGAATCCACCTCACCTTGCCACGGTGCACGTTTTCTGCTTACGTCGGAAAGCGGCTGTAGGATGCAAAGTGCGAGCGGCAGCTCTTCTTTGCGAAGGCTGATCACGGAAAAGCAGGAAATCTTGCTTACCTTCATCTGGGCTGTCATGGTGCTCTTGCTTTTTTGGTACATGCACATGTAGCCTCCTAGACTGAAAGTTGTGAAGGTGCAGCGACGCTCAGCTGTTGCGAGGGCAGACTCCATCACCAGCGCCGGCCTGCCCAGCGCAGACGCCCTCCCAAACTTCGCTCTCTCTCTCTCTCTCTCTCTCCCTCTCTCTTTCTTTCGCCAGGGCTACGACCGAGGGTTGCCC